AAATATAAAGAAGCATATATTCAATTCAATTTTATTTATACAGCCCCAAATCACGACAACACTCACCTTAAGGCACTTTAGATTGTACGGTAGATCCTACAATAACACATACAGAGAAAAAACCCAACAATCATAGGACCCCCTATGAGCAAGTGCTTTGGCAACAGTGGGAAGGAAAAACTCCCTTTTAACAGGAAGAAACTTCCGGCAGAACCAGGCTCAGGGAGGGGCGGGGCTATCTGCTATCTGGGGTGAGAGAAGGAAATCAGGATAAAAGACATGCTGTGGAAGAGAGCCAGAGATTAATAACAAGTATGATTCAGTGCAGAGAGGTCTATTAACACATAGTGAGTGAGAACGGTGACTGGAAGAATGCTCTTTCTGGACATTAGCTCAGCATTCAATCATATCATCCCGGAGATCCTGGTCCAGAAACTGTCTCACCTGGGACTCTCCACCCCCATCTGCCTCTGGATCAAGGACTTCCTGACAAATAGACCACAGTCTGTCAGACTCGGCCCCCACCTGTCCAGCACCATCACACTCAGCACCGGGTCTCCACAAGGATGTGTTTTGAGTCCCCTCCTGTTTACGCTCTACACATCCAACTGCTCCCCCTACCCATCTCTCAAACACCATCATAAAGTTCGTGGATGACACCACAGTGGTTGGACTCATCTCAAGGGGTGATGAGTCGGACTACAGAGATGAGGTCAACAGACTGACTGAGTGGTGTTCAGTTAACAACCTCCAACTGAACACCACGAAAACTAAAGAACTTATCTTGGACTTCAGGAAGGGCAGAGCAGACCCGGCCCCACTTTACATTCACGGGAACTGTGTGGAAAGGGTACACTCCATGAGGTTTCTGGGCGTGCAGATCTCTGATGACCTCTCCTGGACTGCAAATACCATGGCGGTGGTAAAAAAGGCCCAGCAGCGTCTCCACTTTCTGAGAGTGCTCAGGAGGAACAACCTGGAGGAGAGGCTGCTGGTGACATTTTACAGAGACACCATAGAGAGCATTCTAACGTACGGCATAACAACATGGTATGCAGGGTGCTCAGCTGCGGACAGGAAAGTACTGCAGAGGGTCATCAACACAGCCCAGAAGATCACTGGCTGCTCTCTGCCCAGCCTGGAGGTCACTGCAAACTCTCGGTACCTCAGCAGAGCTGGCAATATCATCAAGGACTACTCTCACCCCAGCAACCAACTGTTTGAACTATTACAGTCAGGCCGACGGTACAGGTCACATAAAACCAGGACAAACAGATTCAGGGATGGCTTCTTTCCCAGAGCTATCACCGTAGTAAATAAGCACAAATACAATTGAACCTGCTTAGCTATACCATACCGTCACTGCCATTATATTATGCTGCTATTCATACTGTCATTATATTAATGCTGCTATCCTGTATATATCGTACTTACTATTGTTTGAGTACTTGCGATTGTTTTATTGTACTTTTTATATTTTACATTTATATTTATTATTGAATCTTGCACCAAGGGAGTGGCACTCCAATTTCGTTGTACTCTGTACAATGACAATAAAGGCTATTCTATTCTATTCTATTATTTAAGACCTTGTATGTGAGGAAAAGGACTTTGAATTCAATTCTGGATTTAACAGGAAGCCAATGAAGGGAGGCCAATATGGGACAAATATGCTCTCTCTTTCTAGTCCCTTCAGTACTCTTGCTGCAGCATTTTGGATTAACTGAAGGCATATAGAAGGATAACCTTACTAAGCACAGTGATTGCAAATAGTTTCTCTGAAAACAAAATCTGTGCTAGCAGCATCTGTAAGACTATAACAACAAGCTGGCAGCTGGTAAATAATTTTTGTGCAGTTCACTTATCAACATGTTATAGCTTACATCTATTCCCACATAATATAATGATGCAGGAAAAACTGTTACAGCTGTGTCCAAAAGTCCACTCATACAAACAGGAATTAGGGAGTTTTTCTTTATATGTATTTTACCTAAGTCAGGGTAAAATGGAGAAACATTTTGCTAACCTTCAGCACAGCTTTTTGAAACAATGTGTTATGAACTAAGCAGTACATGTAAAGTCTAAATAAAAAGATTTTTTTAAAAAATACCTTAAGTCTGCATTCTTTCTAATAGCCAGCAGGTGGCGCCTCCTCTGGTTGTGTCAAAGCTTCAGGTTGAATATAAGACCACAGAGAAATGGCCCACAGCGTGTCCTTTCTCTGTGACCTCAGAAAACACTTTCCTGATTAGTTTATGGGCTCAGCCATTAGTTTCCGGTCATCCTGAATGCAACATGAAATGCTTTGTAACTGCAGGCGGGAGTCTCATTGATCTAAAACACTGAACGAACCCAAAATGGTAGACTTCTCCATAAACAGAGTTGGTACTATATTCCCAAAATGCAAGCAATTCTGTTGCTCAAACTTGTCTATTGTAGGTTTTATTCATTTTTAAATTATTGAACATTATTCATTTAAATTACACTACACTCCTTCTCTGTCCTTGTTTGTTAACTTGGACACAAATAAAAGATCAGAAAAATCCTGAACTTAATGAGGATGAGTGATAAATGAAATGAAAATCACAAATGTTAACGAGCAGTAAACCTGGTCACATCTTGTAGTCAGGCAAAAATGCCTGCCTGGCCTAACAGGTCTGCAGAGCATTTCTTGAAAAGTGAAAGTGTTTTCTGAATTTAAGAAAATCAAGCTATTCGGGGCTTTTTTTGTTTGTTTTTCTTTTTACTTTATACTGCTGCTTGTTTTAGATTAACAAAGGTTTAGCAGCAAAGGCTCTTCTTAGAAACGGACAATTTGGGTTTTGTCCTGTGACATTATAACAATTTATATTGTAATCTTGCAGCCTTGGTCACTGAGCACCAAAGACAAAACCTTTTATCCTTTTTGTTTTTGCTCTTTAAGTCTGACTCCTCAAAGTTTATGACAAGTTGGCAGCTTGAAAATAATTTTTGGCAGTCCTGCAGTCAGGCCGTTGTTATATAGATGTCTTGTCATTGCTTGTGTTTATAATGGTGCTTTGTACCCAAGAACAAAATGTCAGTATAATCTCAGTACTAACAATAGTAAACAGCACATCATCTATACAAACTCTAAAGAAACACAGAAGAGATTTTTCCCACCACAGCAGCAAGATGTGCATGATGAAATCTCCTTTATGGTTTAGTTTATTATCCTCTAATATAATTATCTCATTCTGAACCCAAACCTTGGCCCTAAAGCCAAATTCCAACCCTCTGAAGCTCTCAGAAAAAAAGCACAAAGTCATAGTCAAAACTTATCCACTTTCTCAAAATCCTTCCTCCCAAGATCTAAAACCAAAACCAGTCTTTACAAAGGTAGTCGTACATGTGCACACACATTGACACACACAGTAGCATAGCAATCGTACTGCATGTGCCTCAGTGGACACTGGTATTCAAGAGTAATTTCTCTCTTTGAGAGCTCACAGAATAAGTAGTTGTAACAAGTTAGATACACTGTGTGTCCCGACGCTACAGGCAGACACACTTGTTTCCATGGCTAATTACTTGTTTGTATAGCGCTCGTTTCTTGTGCACCTCGACTCTCCCCGTTGTGTTCATCACATCTTTTCATAAGCCTGCAATTGTTCCTCTCACTCCAAACTCCTCTCCCTCTGGTTCAGGAGTGCTACTACATGAATAGGGGAGAGCGATTGGACTACATGTAACAGCCTCAGCTAGCACTGAACCCGAACCACCTCCCCCTTCTCTTCTCCCTCTGCCGAGCCACAAACCACACCCCTAACTCCAACAGTAGCTTTATTTGTTTATTTATTTGTAAGAGACCCTGCACAAAAGCCAGCCAGAGAATTGACACATTGTACCAGATTTGATTAGCGTTTGCAGTTTCTTGGCAGGTAATATTTATCTGGTCACTTATTGCTATAGCAAGTGTAACCCACAATCAGACTTGCAGCTCAAAGGGCAACAGTGTGTGAAAGGGAAACATAGTTTTTCTTTATGGAAGAGAATCTAAACATGTTGTACTGCACTTTTGTGAGAGAGGCTCTGCTTTTTTGAAAACAAAACACAAAGTCTCAGTGGGCAGCGCTGACTTATTGTCTGCCTTTCAAAACCCGCCTGTAACCATAGCAACTGTAAATGTTAGGTTTCTAGCCATGAGACAGTTGTAGTAGGATTAACTGACAGCGTGTGTGCACAGGACATTTTTTAGCCTAAGGGCATTATTTATATAATAATTTTTGTGAAGTTGTCCATTTTTCCTCTGAGTACTATGACGAGCTGATGCAGCTAAAGGCATTTTTCCTGTCCAAGCAATCTTTGAGATGTCAGTCACAAACAAGTGAACCTTTTACCATTCTTTAGATTTGCCAGTCTGCAGCACAGACCTCTAAACCATAAAGCAAGAAGAGAAAAATCCCAAGATGATGCATTTTAATATGTTGAGCTAATGAAAGTGTATTTAAGGTGACCATGGCTTAGGCAGTAGAATAGATTTATCGGTAATTGGAGGGGTGGTGTACTTTTTTTTTAATCAATGGGTCCTTTAGTCTGCATGTCAAACGCACCTCAAAATTGCTCATCATTTATCATCTGCGTGTGTGTTTGGGGGGTATTTTGTAGCATCATATGAAGAGCTTTGTGAATGAGTAGAGCCCTTTTAATGGTCAATAAGATGAGCAATGTGCCATACAAAATCCAGTCATTTTATCCTCTATACAGTGACTTCAAAGCACCTTAAGGTGCTTCTGTGAAGATGAAAAACCAAAGACGAGGAAAGCGAGAAAATTGTTCCACCCTTAAGTGGAACAAGGACAAGACTTTAATTCAAAAAGCTTTCATGCAATCAGGCATCATTATGACAAAACTAAATGTGTGAAAAAATTAATCAGGCAAGCTTTTATTTTTGATCTGGGAAAGGCAAATGAAAAATAGATTAATATCACCTGCTTTATTTATGTAACTATGCACCTAATTGATGTAAATATTGATTCCAGCTTGCACCAGATGATGCCTGGAAGTGCCCCCACTGTAAGCAGCTTCAACAGGGTATGGTGAAGATGAGCCTGTGGACTCTGCCAGACATACTGATCCTCCATCTCAAGCGCTTCCGTCAGGTAGGCCAGCTTCAAAGTGGTCTCAAGTGAAGACTTTCATCTTGATCATTACATTACTACTACAGTCATCAAAATAATTTATTTAAAAGATGTCTATGGTAGTAACAAACACCTGAGGAACTATTATCTGACTCTACACAGACAATTTGACAATTTATAGAGGAGCCAGATACAGTATTCAAGAAATATGAATACACGCCTTTGAAATGACTAAAATTAACGTGATTTCAAATAGCATCAACTTACAATAATAACTTTAAGATTATTTTGTAAAATGAACTGAAATAATTATTCAAAAGTTTACTGTGTTTAGTCTCATTTAAAACACATTATACAGACTACATTTAACACAACAGTGCAAAAAAACTGAAGCTAAACACAACAACAAGTCTGTTGAATGCTGCAGGAAAAGAGTATACGTGCAATTTCCAATTAACAACTAGTTATATGAACAGTCTTTTAAATAAACTGCAGTTGTCTAAAGGATTTGCTTTAACAAGAAAGCAGTTTGTGAGAACTCATCAGGATAAGAAAAGATAATTTTTATGGCTCAGTTAAGCCAAATTTCTTTCCTGAAATACTAAATGAAAAGATGAGTTTGAGTGTAAAGAAATGTAGCCTTTAATGATTTCAAAAGCACTGCAGGAAACAAGAAAGGGAAGCCAGATGAATACTGTGAAAAGGGCCATTTGTGAACAGTCATTGAAAAAGACAACCTCTCTGTCAAAGAGCAGCTCAGTATAAAAATGAGTAAAAATGAAATTGTTTCTCTGTGGATGATGGGTATGTGAAAACATGTTTGTGATAAAATACTTGCCATAACAACTACAAATTACGAATTAATAAACTCATTATTGACGGGAACTGGAAAACTGGAAAAGCTCATCCACGCCTTTGTGACCTCAAGGCTGGATTACTGCAACTCACTTTATTTTGGTCTTCATTCTGCCCTCCTTCATAGACTGCAGACAGTCCAAAATGCTGCGGCATACATTCTGACCAGAACTGGGAAGTTTGCCTGTATCACTCCTGTTCTAGCTGACCTGCATTGGCTACCCATAAAATACCGCATCCAATTTAAAATACTGCTGCTCACGTTTAAAATGACCAACAACACAGCACCGAGCTACCTTAAGGAACTCCTTAAATCGTATGTTCCTGCCAGAGCATTAAGATCATCTACTCAGTTACTCTTGGTGCAGCCTAGATCTCGGCTGAAGTCTAGAGGTGCCCGGGCGTTTGCCCTGGCTGCACCAGAGTTGTGGAATAACCTTCCGATTGTGATCCGGGCGTCCGATTCCATCCAATCTTTTAAATCACGGTTAAAAACCTATTTGTTTAATCTCGCCTTTCCTCCTTGTTAATGCTTGCACTTGACTTTTAGACTTACTCTATTTTTCCTTATACAGATTTTTATGGCTTTTGCTTTTATTATGTTTTTATTTTGATATGCATTTCATATTACCCCATGTGTATTAGTGGCATTGACCTGTGAGTATATTTGATACTTTGCTAAGGCCTTATAATACTCGTGTTACTTCTCTGTCTCTTATCTTAAGCACTTCGGTATACCACTGGTTTTTAAATGTGCTCTATAAATAAAGTTTGTTGTTGTTGTTATTGTGCTTACAGTTTCTCTTGATGGCCCAGTGTTGGATTGGATATTAGAGAGAATAAAACTGGCCTTTTATGGACTGATTTTTGCAAGAGTATAAAAGTCCCAGAAAATCCTTTGTGCCTGACCATCTTCAGGGGACTTTTTGTTGTTGTTGTTGTTGTTGTTAAGCCACTTAACAGTGACCTGTGTGTCATTCAAGCATGAAAAGGCACTTAACTCAAGGCATAAACCATTTTTGTGTCTACACATAGCAGACAATTTAGCAAAGAACCAATTTTATAATAATAACAATGGATTGGATTTATATAGCGCTTTTCAAGGCACCCAAAGCGCTTTACAATGCCACTATTCATTCACACACTGGTGGAGGCAGCTACAGTTGTAGCTACAGCTGCCCTGGGGCAGACTGACAGAAGCGAGGCTGCCATTTCGCGCCATCGGCCCCTCTGGCCAACACCAGTAGGCGGTAGGGTAAAGTGTCTTGCCCAAGGACACAACGACCAGGACAGAAAGCCCGGGGATCGAACCAGCGACCTTCCGGTTACAGATACGCTTCCCAACCCCCTGAGCCACGGTTATATCATATCTTTAAGCACTTTGTTACTACCAGCCTGCCACAAACAACCACAATTTGTTTCTTTTGCTTTAATTTAATCTATGAAAAATGCAAAAGATAACAAAGTTTGACAGGGTGTTTTTGCACCAAAGTCATTCCTAAAGAGCTGTTAGCTGAAAACTTAAAGAATATCTCATCATGATCTGCAGGAAACTGGACAAGCGGAAGGAAAAAAAAAGACAAAAGTGGCCTAAAAGACAAAAGTGGCCTTAGTGCCCCCCCAAAAAAAGCTATCAGTAAGTCATGAAAGTCAAGTCCTTAAAAAAAAAAAGGATGGATGCAGTGATGCATCTAACCCTTCTGTTGATCCAGCTAATGTTCGCCGAAGCATAATCAAAAATGGTCTCAGTCAAAGAGGAAAGGGAAACAGGGAGAAATGGGCTGAGGTATGGATTGAAAATCAGTGGCAACGGGTCTTTTATGCTTGAATGATTTATAGGTCAGTGCTAAGTGGCTTAAAACACAAACCAAAAGGCAAGGACTGGAATGAAAATGAGAGAAAAAGCAGTCAATACCCAAATAGAAACTGAAAGATCCCCAACAGCCTGAAAAAACTATACACAGTAAGTTTCTTTCCATCCCCCTTTCCTCTTTAGTGAGATAGGCAAGCGCCATGTCACAATCATTGAAGCATGCCTCGTAGCCTGCTTCTTTAAAACCAACACCCCACCTTTCTCTGGCCTTCATGCATTATTCCAAACACGTATTATCATTATTGGTCTAAATCCCCCACACCCCATTACCTTGCCACCGTGAAGTTCTTTAATATCCTGGGAGATCCCAGTCTGGAAAGTTAAAAAGGATTCAAACCTATGCATTCTCTTCCTCAACTAAACTTTGTTTAGAGCCATGGCAACAACAAAAAAGATAAAAAGTGGTGTTTTTATGAATTCTGACTGTTTACTGAAAGGAAGAACATGAAAGAAGGCAAGTGAAAACAACTATGATGAAAGCCAATGTGCCACACAAATTAATTGCTGGTACTTTCTAACCACTCTTTATGAAACATTCTGATGTTGTACATCAATGCAGGAAAAAAACAAATGAAAACTGAAAGAGGACATGCAAAGGGTTGGTGTTACAGAAGGTGTGGGGTAAGATGGAGGCAGATGACACATAAAGGGAGTGAAATAAAGAAGAATTAGTGATCAGCCACAGACTTTTTCAGCCTCAGATATACAGATACAGTGGGGCAAAAAAGTATTTAGTCAGCCACCGATTGTGCAAGTTCCCCCACCTAAAATGATGACAGAAGTCAGTAATTTGCACCAGAGGTACACTTCCACTGTGAGAGACAGAATGTGAAAAAAAAATCCATGAATTCACATGGTAGGATTTGTAAAGAATTTATTCGTAAATCAGGGTGGAAAATAAGTATTTGGTCAATAACAAAAATACAACTCAATACTTTGCAACATAACCTTTGTTGGCAATAACAGAGGTCAAACGTTTACTATAGGTCTTTACCAGGTTTGCACACACAGTAGCTGGTATTTTGACCCATTCCTCCATGCAGATCTTCTCGAGAGCAGTGATGTTTTGGGGCTGTCGCCGAGCAACACGGACTTTCAACTCCCGCCACAGATTTTCTATGGGGTTGAGGTCTGGAGACTGGCTAGGCCACTCCAGGACTTTCAAATGCTTCTTACGGAGCCACTCCTTTGTTGCCCGGGCGGTGTGTTTTGGATCATTGTCATGTTGGAAGACCCAGCCTCGTTTCATCTTCAAAGTTCTCACTGATGGAAGGAGGTTTTGGCTCAAAATCTCACGATACATGGCCCCATTCATTCTGTCCTTAACACGGATCAGTCGTCCTGTCCCCTTGGCAGAAAAACAGCCCCATAGCATGATGTTTCCACCCCCATGCTTCACAGTAGGTATGGTGTTCTTGGGATGCAACTCAGTATTCTTCTTCCTCCAAACACGACGAGTTGAGTTTATACCAAAAAGTTCTACTTTGGTTTCATCTGACCACATGACATTCTCCCAATCCTCTGCTGTATCATCCATGTGCTCTCTGGCAAACTTCAGACGGGCCTGGACATGCACTGGCTTCAGCAGCGGAACACGTCTGGCAGTGCGGGATTTGATTCCCTGCCGTTGTAGTGTGTTACTGATGGTGACCTTTGTTACTTTGGTCCCAGCTCTCTGCAGGTCATTCACCAGGTCCCCCCGTGTGGTTCTGGGATCTTTGCTCACCGTTCTCATGATCATTTTGACCCCACGGGATGAGATCTTGCGTGGAGCCCCAGATCGAGGGAGATTATCAGTGGTCTTGTATGTCTTCCATTTTCTGATGATTGCTCCCACAGTTGATTTTTTCACACCAAGCTGCTTGCCTATTGTAGATTCACTCTTCCCAGTCTGGTGCAGGTCTACAATACTTTTCCTGGTGTCCTTCGAAAGCTCTTTGGTCTTGGCCATGGCGGAGTTTGGAGTCTGACTGTTTGAGGCTGTGGACAGGTGTCTTTTATACAGATGATGAGTTCAAACAGGTGCCATTCATACAGGTAACAAGTGGGGGACAGAAAAGCTTCTTACAGAAGACGTTACAGGTCTGTGAGAGCCAGAGATCTTCCTTGTTTGAGGTGACCAAATACTTATTTTCCACCCTGATTTACGAATAAATTCTTTACAAATCCTACCATGTGGATTCATGGATTTTTTTTTCACATTCGGTCTCTCACAGTTGAAGTGTACCTCTGGTGCAAATTACTGACCTCTGTCATCATTTTAAGTGGGGGAACTTGCACAATCGGTGGCTGACTAAATACTTTTTTGTCCCACTATATATGCTTTTAGGATGGCTCGTTCCCAGAGGCCTGCCGTGGTTAGAATCTTTCTCACTGTGTACGCCAGGCCATATTTTTCCCCACACCTGGTATAATCAGATAGATCACTGCTTTCTCCTTTTTGCTGTCTGGTGGAGTCTCTTATTATTATGTTTTTTCCCATCTATTCACATGGTAGCTTCCCAGTACTCATCCCCGTACTGCAATTTCATAGTAATTCAGCACAGGCTTTAGAGTGTGTAGGTCATTTCCCTAGCTGAGATCATTGGGTATGCACACCAGTTTCAGTTGTACTGAATCTCCTGCCATGACCGGGTTAAAATAAACCATGCCTTTTTGCTATAACTGACCCATCACTAGTGTTTTTTTGCTCAGGGACTACAGATAGAAATTAGGTTTCGACTTCGTTTGTGCGTCTCCCTGTAATTAAACATTTGAAAAACCCTTGACACGAACCCTTGCTGCTTTCACAGGAGACTCATTAGTATCCCTTCATATGCCTGGTTCTTCTTGTTCCTTGTTTCAAAAGTGAACCCTGCCCTTTTCTTTAGATGTTTGCTTCTCTGAGTTTTAATGAACACATTGTAAGTTGTCAGTATTTTGTTGCAGCAGCTATGTTTGCTATGCCTAACACTGTAAGGTCATAACATGCGACCTTTTATTCGTAATTGGTTCACGGTAATCTTTTTAGTAACATAGTAATACTACTATACTTAAGCTTGGATATGTTACCAGCGTGCATAACAATTAAACTTTTGCCACATTAGGAAAGCACCTTGTTTTCCAGCACAGCTAACAAACAATATCCCGTGATCTGAAAAGGCTCCCTGTGTTTTGGAGAAACTTGACCAAACTGGTTTGTGTTAACAAAATGGTAGCATTTGTTAACCTTTACTTAACTAATCTGGTCTCATTTAAGCCATCACTTTGTTTTTTTCAATGGCCCTGACCAGGACAAGTTTAAGTCACAATGACACAACTAATGGTTTTAGGAAACTTCAAATTTAATAAACAAACAAACAATCTTTTAACAGAGAGTTTACAATAGTTCGTCAACTTTCACTTACATTTGCAAACACGTGCCAAGCTGATGGGAGCTTAAAAACAAAAAAACATTGTTGCCACATATCCTAACACACAGAAATGACTGATAAATCAATTTTATAATGATTATTTTTTTCTCCAGAAGCCAAATTAATTTTCCCTATGGGCCATATACTGAGTATAGCATTAATGCCAAAAAACATGAACATCCCTGAAGATCCTTTTGCTCCATATGTGCCAATATGCTCCTGAGACCCAGCCTATTCATTTATGTCCTCCGTGGATAGAATAGATGTAAGAAGTTATGTAGTGATGGGATTTTTCTTTTCACTTAATCTGTACAATTGCTCCGCACACTCCCCGGAGTGTAGTGCTGTAATATTTTACATTAGTGCTTAATACCGCCTTGCTGAACATAATAAATTCCTCACAGTCATTACAAGTCTTACCTGGAACTGTTGAATGTTGAGAAACTGGGACTGCTGTGGGGGGCTGCACCAATAAGCTGGACTCATTTATGCTCAATATTAATCTTATAAACTGCTGCTGATGAGAGCAGATGTTACAATTAGGCAATGAAAATGTAAGAGGTATAGTTAAAAACACCAATATTTTAAGACAATTTATCAATTTAATCAATTTTCTCAAAAACAACTGTGAGCAAAATGTGCATGTTTTTGCTAAATTTCAAATACCCTAAACTTTATTTTACTTTATAGAATATATTGTACTGCCATCTTACTTGTAGTTTCATGTATTCATGTGACGTTTTTCAGTTCTTTCTTCTTGTTCAGTGAAAGAGATCTAGTCTGTTTTTGGCCTGAACAAGTGCTTTAAAGCTGAGGTAGGACAGTCACATCAACAGCAAACGCAGCATCAGCTTTCCATTATGCATCTGACAGTTCTGGATGTCCTTTGCCTTTTGTCTCACAAAATTGTTGAATTTTTGCTGTCAGGCTGCACACTGTTTTTAGCACTTTGCTCAGGTTGAACCCCCTGACAGATGTGTGATATATATTCCCCAATAAACTCTTTTAGTTATGACATTAGCAACATGGTTAATTATTTTGCTCTGACTTACACAGCACCTCTTAGTGTATAATACAATGCCAAAATACCAATTTTAGTTGTGGGTTAATTTCACTCACTTTATCCTTCGTCCACTTCAAAAGTCCAACATTTTTCCATGTTAGATTTGGACAAACATCAGTTCTAACACCTGTCAGTGTGTCCCATTTTCTATCAAAGCATGCACTTGCCTCCATGAACAAATCACTTCCTATTGTGCTGCTCAATTTCAAACTCTTTTGTTATTCCACGTACAAAGGGAAGTAGTATATGTGGGCTGTGTCGCAGGCACCACAGCTCTTGTCCAGAGCCAAGGACAAAAAGTCAGACTTCAGGCTTTTACACTTTGCTTGGAAAGAAAGAAGCAGAAAGAGGGAAGGCCCCATGAGTTAAGCCCTGCTGATCACCTCACATGAGACCCTTTCTTCAAAAACTCTAGTATCAGATCCTGATTTTGGAGTTCCTGACTGACACACCTTTTCTCTCTGCATTAGAATTCAGTCAGTCAGTCTGCCAAAATCTGTACCAAGCACCGGCTTAGCATCAGAGACCAGAGCCAGTAATATGCACAGCACAATTTCTAAGGTTGGGGGGTTATGCAGGGCCTTCCATCATGATAAGGATTCAATCTCAGTAGGAAAGCTTCTATACTAAAAAGTGATTTGAATAAAAAATCCATACTGAATCACAAGCATGTAAGAGAAAACTGCTGGGCACTTCTTTTACTGACCTAAAACTTTTGTTTTCTGATTCTGGTTACTTCTAAAGAGCCTCTGGAATAAAACTGACAGTAAGTAAAAGCAGAATTCATTTATGTTTCTTTGACATATGCAAATAGTTTGTCTTTATTTATTTGCCGTTTAATTCATTTGGCAGCTATATGCTAGTTTTACTTTTGAATCTTTTTGTAGATGTTCAGATTCCTAACAGAGTAATATTTGCCTGCATATTCACTTGTTGTTGTACAGCTTTGTGAATCTAAATGTAGTTCTAGCTTTTACTGCAGTTGATTCCAATTGTTTGCTCACGAGCTGTTCTGTTTTTAACTTTGTCTTCAGCCACTGCTCAGTGAGATCAGGTGACAGACCTGGTCATTAAAAGTACTGACTTTACTTTCAAAAATCTCCTGACCAGCTTTCGCTGTATGTTTTGGTCAATTCATTTTCATTCAGATTAATTTATATAGGCGCAAATCACAACAACTGTTACCTCAAGGTGCTTTATATTGTAAGGTAAAGACTCTAAAATAACAGAGAAACAAATATTTATGTTTTCAATTTTTTAAATAAATTACATACCCAAAGCTGAAATATCTTAAAATTGTGTTCAGACTCACATTCTTTCTGTCAGGCTCGCATGTGTTAGTTGTTATGTTGAGAAATTTTATTACTGTACCACTCAGAACAGTCAATACTTATTGTAAAGCTACTCAAGCATTTTCTTGCTTGAATGCTTTTCATCACTCTCATGTTGAAAGGTGATTGTTGAGCCATTGTACTGGGTACACTGGTGTATGCCCTGTGAACTTCATACTGCTTGCCGCAGGTGCCCTCAAATCACTTTCTAGACACAACACATATTTAAGGAAATGACCATTTTGTTTTCCATTGTAACTATAATCAACATAATACTTTGTAAATCAATCAGTCATACATTTCTATAGATAGAGTCCCTGCTGTTCCTGTCACAGCAAAAGAGTGGATATAGAATCAGTCAAGCCTTTGCCATTAGGCAAAAATAGTAATTGGCACATTACTATTGAGAATTGCAAAAGAAAAAAAAGTATTTCCAAGTATTTAAAGTACAAAAATGTGCAAACATAATGGTGTGTATGGACTGTATGTATGAATAATGATTTTTGAAACAGGTTGGAGAGCGAAGGAACAAGCTGTCAACACTCGTGCGTTTCCCTCTAACTGGTCTGGACATGGCACCGCATGTAGTGAAGCGAAGCCAGAGCATGAAGAACCTGAATATGGGGCCATCACCACCTTCCTGGAAACAGCACTCAGGCCAACCACACCAAGCTGCTGACATGATGCTTCCTCATGAATTCCTGTATGATCTTTATGGTGTGTGTAACCATCACGGAGGAATGCATGGAGGACATTATACTGGTATGTAACAATGACGTCTTCTTATTGCTTTTCATACACACTCTTCTGTCATGCAGTTGGCACATCCACACAAATGAAGTTACTGCATAATATGGATATATACAAAGTGTGTGTGTGTGTGTGTGTGTGTGTGTGTGTGTGTGTGTGTGTGTGTGTGTGTGTGTGTGTGTGTGTGTGTGTGTACATGTTTAGGTATCTTTGTGAGGACAGAAAATTGGCATGCCACTATACTTGTGGGGACCAACAGTCACTTAGAGGGACAAAATGCTCATTCCCACGAGTTTGAAGGAATTTTTGAGGCTCCAAATGTGGTTTTAGTGTCAGGGTTACAATTAGGTTAGGTTTAGGCTGAGGGCATTCGTTTTTGATGGTTAGGGTAAGTGTCTAGGGAAAGCATTATGTCAATTAGATGTTCTCACTAAGATATGAAAATTAGTCTGTGTGTGTGTGTGTGTGTGTGTGTGTGTGTGTGTGTGTGTGTGTATTACAACAGGGACCAGATTTAGCTAGAATGCTAACTCCACAAGGAAGACCATTTTCACTTCAAATGACAGTTCAGATCTCTCAATGACAAATAACATGCAACACTGAGTTATCCCGTCTTCTTTGGCAGATGTTTTTGACCAATCAGTTTTGAGAAAGTCTATGCCCATCTGTCATACTCAATACCTCAGCAAAGTAAACTGCTCTGTGCTGCTTAGTGTTTTAATTTTAAATGAAATGTTTCGATACAACCCTCCAGCAGTCTGGGTCTCTACTATCCTCAGCTCAGTGAACTGTGGTTCATCCCAATAGTCCTGTGCACAGTAATTGCAAGTAGCTAAGTGAGTCCCTAAATGTGGGATGGATTTCCAATTTCAGGTACTGTCCAGGCTGCCATTTAGACTGTTAGTATGTGGAGGATTTTCAAACTACGTGTGTCTGATAAGAATGATGTTATTTTACTAATGGGTGGCTCCCCATTAGTAAAATAACATGTACAGTCTATGTCTAGTTTATGTACAGTCGGGGGAAAAATAATTCCTTAATTCCCCTGCTGAATTTGTAAGTTTGCTCACTGACAACAAAAATAAAGTCTTCAATGTTTCATTTTAACTGGAGACTGAAAACCATCAAAAGAAGAAAAAAAACACAATGTACATTGCACAAGCACCTAAATTGATTTGCATGCCATTGATTTAAATGTGCATTTAATCCCCAAGCAAACCATGACTTAGTACTTGATGGAGAAACCCCTGTTATCAAACTCAGCGATAAGACATTTCCTGTAGATGGTCACCAGGTTTGCAGAATTGTCCAAATCCTTTAGGTTTCTTGGCTGCTGCTTTGCAACTCGAAGCTTCAGCTCACTTCATAGATTTTCTACAGGACTGAGGTCTGGCTAGGCATCTACATGACCCTGATATGCTTCTTTGTTACCTGGGCATTATTTTTTGGGTCATTATTAGGCCGTGGACAGGTCTTCCAGCATATCTTCAGTTTTCTGGTTGAGGAAAGGAGGTTGTGCAAGATTTTACGGTATAAAGCCCCACCCATTGGCTTCTCAATGCAGTGAAGTTGTCCTGTATCCTTAGCAGGACAGCTTTTTAGTTATTTATTTTTAATCTTTATTTTCATTAAAAATGTAAATAACATGCACAATTTCTTTCTGTGAAGGTTCTCAGTCATCCAGGTCATCGTAGTCAAAGGAGCTTGCAAAGAAAAGCGTCTGGACTTCTTTAAGTTGCTTGAAGACGTTTCACCTCTCATCCAAGAAGCTTCTTCAGTTCTAAGGTCAAATGGTGGGGAGTCCCAGATTTAAACCCATTGGGAGAATCCATAGAAGAGCCACCTCCACAGGACAAGACTCAGCAGTCCATCTGCATCTTAGGGACAAAGGACACTCTTTCGAGGATGCCAATGTTCACATTTTGGACAGAGAGGACAGATGGTTTGAAAGAGGAGTGAAAGAAGCCATCTATGTCCACTGTGAGCGACCATCTTTGAACAGAGGCGGTGGTTTATAACACCAACTGTCTGTCATCTATAATCCAGTTTTGAGATCCCTTCCCAGACACCTTAACGCCCACTCACATCCTGGGCCATCTGACCTCAGGAAATCGCATGATAAGGTGGGGCCAGGTTTCACAATGAGCTCACCCGAAACCCTGGCTGATTGGGACCCACACCCAGTTTCACACCTTGGCTCATGTGATTAGAGGATCATCAGGGGGTCCTTTTGTCCCTCTGTGGGGGGATACTCCCACTAGGTTTAAATCTGGGACTCTCCACCATTTGACCTTAGAACTGAAGAAGCTTCTCGGATGAGAGGTGAAACGTCTTCAAGCAACTTAAAGAAGTCCAGACGCCTTTCTTTGCAAGCTCCTTGGACCATGCACAATTTCATTACAATCAATACAAAACATTACATACGCACCATTCAATATGGCGGACTCTGCAATAAATTAAATTTACATTTGAAATACAAGAATAAAATTGAAGACTCGTACCTAATTTGCAGAAATAGAAGTGACAACTGGAGATTAGGAGAAAGCAGGTCTTCGCCATGGCAGCTACCACTTTACATTTGCATCCATAAAATCATCTTTTACCTGAGAGCCCAACAGTGTAATGCACAATTGTGTTATGCACAATAACACAATCTGTGGTGGTGTCCCTCATTTAACTAAGAAAAATAAATAAAATTGATCTGATTTTACTGGAATGAAAAAAAAATAACAGCATCTTTAAACACATTTTTAAAATAAATCAAAATAGCACCTGAACAACAAGAAACTGTAGCTGGAGAGCAGCTCCAAGTGTCCAGGAATGGTCCTTGATGTATTCTGTCTTGCTGCTTTAACAAGCTGAGAAACATACACTATCAACAGTCTCTGCAGTGGAGGAAAGTACAACTCACATTTAAATGTGAAGCTATTCTATGTACACTGTATTTACAGGCAGCAAAGAGATTATGTGCTATGGACCTCCCAAGGCATTTTAGGGGAAAAATGAGTTAATCTCCATATTGCATGCAATTTTCTGATAACAATTATGCGAGAAAAACATTATTTACCGTTGTTGTCTGTTTTTTATTCCAGCTTACTGTAGGAATTCAGTGGATGGTCAGTGGTATAGCTACGACGACAGCAGCGTAGACCTGGTGCAAGATGAGGAAGTGTGCACAAGGGGTGCTTACATCCTTTTCTACCAGAGGCGAAACACCATTCCCCCATGGTCAGCCAGCAGCTCCATCAGAGGTATGTTGTGAAATAACAAGCAAACCAGACAACAGAAAGCATATAAGAGCTTGTGATTGTTTTTCAATGGTCCTAAAAATGGTAAATAGTCAATTAATGTCTGTACTTTCAACATACGTACCTTAGGCAGGAGTAGTTTTCAAGGACGCAAATATATCTGTTTTGTCTGCTGCACTGTGCTCCGCGAAACGCACACACGTCTGACACCTTATCTTAGGGCTGTGTTCGATATAACGATATACATCGGATGACGATATAAAAACGTCTATCGTTTCATTTTACGCTATCGTTTGTTTTGTGGTGTCGTAAAATAAACTGTTTACGGCAATATTTTTTCATCGTTTTGATGGTCACTGTAGTGGCTATATTAATTTCTTAAATTCTCTCTTTCTCTTATATTTAATATAACCACACTACGGACGGACAAGCGCCTGTTTTTACGTGTTGCCGTTAGCAACAATGACGGTAAAACTATCACGTGGCTCCGCTGTCCGCTTGTTTGTTTTCCATTGAAACCTTTCACAATAAAGCTCAAGATCCCTTGACTTTTCAAAGTAAACTGAATCACGTGAAAGAGTATGAGTATCTGTAAGAGTTTACGGAGGAGAAGCAAAAAAAGAGCCGTCATGTGCTAAAAAATAAACTTTAGACTTAAACTTTGAAAGAAAATGGTGGCCGTTACAACTTATGTCTAAAAATGTATAGTTTCATGCATCGGTTAAAACACTCGAATCCAGGTAAAAGACGACCAGCTGGAAAAACTAAACGCAAGTTGAGCTGCCCGAAATTCACAGAATTTACAGAAAATGTTACATTTTTGTGATTTATATCGTTGTCAGGACGATAAATGTCTTATATATGGTATTTTTGTCATATCGCACAGCCCTACCTTATCTGATATATCTGAGCGTATCTGGTGAGACAGTTTGACAAAGATTCTTTTACACATACACCATGCACCATGTAGACAACACAAACTAATACATCCTGTTCTTGCTGAATGTGTACATTGAGTATGTGCAAAATATTTGCACAGCAAAAGTTTATTTACATTTAAATGGACTTTTTACGAGAGCAAGACTCCATAAATGGTGGGGCGGGGCACATTTACTGCTATAGGAATAATTCAGAATAACAATGATTTTGCTGGACCGCAAATAAATCATTAACCACAAGCAACTTGTAAGAAACACAGTAAGATAACTGCACCTTGCTCTCTGTAGTCTCAAGCATGCATCCTACAATAAAGTACAACTGTAATCTCTAATTAATCAAAAGTGAGACATAAGTGATCCCTCTTCTTCCTCTTTCACAGTAAGAGAGGAAAAAATGTAATAAAAGTTGGTGTTTTAATCGGATATTTATATAATACAGCGCCGAACGTTTCAAGTGGAAGTTGACTTGAAGAAATCCGCTGCCAATCCCATGACTATAAATGATGCAAAAAGATGTTTTTTTCTTAATACATACCACCTATCCCTGCGCTCCTGCCTCTCTGACTTGCATCTTGTGAGCTGCTATGATACTGAGGTCTTTCAACCTTTGAAGTAAGAGCCAAACATGCTGGTACAAACAGAGAAGACCGTACTGTCAAGAACCTGCTTTGATTCACAGAAAGCCACGGGTCTGTCAGATCTGCTCATTTAGCTCCGCATGAAATGCTGAATGTGTAGCAAAGTCCTCTGTCAGACTGCAAAAAAGAAAAGAAAGCGAGAACTCATCCAAAATATTGTAAAGTCAGTTGTTTGACTCTTTTTTCTTTTTTTAAACTGGAAATTATTAATTATTAAACTGAGAGAATGAACCGCATTTCACTGGTAAGAGTATGTTAAGAGCTAAAAGTCAGATTTAATAGTAGTAATAATTTTGTGCAGCTAACTTTGAAACCTTTTGCCATAGCAGCTCACTGAAGGCCATACACTTACTACAAATGTCAGAATGCCTGAAATCATTATAATACCAACCTTTATCTTTACGTAATCTCCTCTCCTATAGAGATTGACAGACCACGTGACTTTCACGCATTGCATGCCGTGGCAAAACAATCCAAGTACCGCATCAAATGCAAGCATTTGCAGCACCGCAAAACGTTCATTCTTCGGTTCCAATAAATTCTTGCTTTTTCTTTGCCCCCCAAAAAGGTTCTGTACAAAACGAAGGAGAACAATGCCGGTCCGTACAAAGACAGACTTGATGAAAAGTCAAAGAAAAGATACGAGGAAAAAAATCAAAGGAGTGAAAGGTTTACTTAGGGTAAACCCTTACGAGCACACAGAGGGACAAAATACGTTAGCGTGCTGCCCAACTTTCACCACGCTCATATTTATAATTATACGCTTCTTGGAGTGAGTGCATACACTCATGAAGTTTAGTAACTTCAGGTCACTGCAACAAGCCCAGGTACAGTTTACCGACGGATGGGTGCAGACCCTTGAAATGCACCGTGTAGAACTAAAGACCATCGTACATATCATAAGTTTACCAGTCTCACAAATCGTCTTCATAAATACACATTCGTTAACCGTTTATTAATAGGACCTTTGAGCTCAAGGGTAATTAATTAGTAGTGGAAATAATTTCTGGCAGCATCACAGAAATGTAGCAGTGACAATAATACTGTATGCTGTAATCGTACTGGGCAATTAGTGATACAAAACAACTGTTTTACCCTGTGAATAAAAGTATATGTTTTTGTCAATGTACCATAATAACAGAAGTGAAACGCAATATTGTGTCAGGACAATTCACTATTTATGCACAATAAATAAAGGAGCATAGCGCGACAATTTCTGTTCAGCGCCAGACTTGCTTGTAACCTGTATCACCAATTATGTTAAGAAAAATGACGCATTAACTACAACAGCAGACTGACCTTTGTGGAAATGCTTGGAGCAGACTAACCTGTGAGCTGGAGTGTTCTGGGACGTTATATTTGATCTTTGAATGGCTGCAATCCAGGCCATCCGTCTCCTCTTTGTTACTTCGGAAACATGGCTCGAACAATTTCTCTTCAACGACGTAATCCGATAACAACCGATCTCTTTACCCGTCGGCTTTCCGTGGCTGTCATGCGACCGGCTATTGCAGTTAATAATACAACAGCTTCTTGCAATTTTTTGTGTTTCTTTTTATCGCTGTATAACTGATTTCAATTGAAAGCCTGCTGCGCTAGTACCTCTTGCCACGAGTTCCCAGAATTCTTTGCGGTTTTACCCCTGAATGACGTCACATTTTCAATCTCTATTGCCTTTTACAAATCCAAATAACCAGTGACCTCTTTCCATGTGGTGCACCGACAATACAAGTCAAAAAGACAGCTGTGTTAAGCTGCACAAATTGTCTGAACATACAGTCATATGAAAAAGACAGGACTCCTTGAAGTCCTTTTAAAAACTAAGTACACCTTTAATGCTTCTATAGAAATTAAGAGGGTAAGCAGCAGCTAGGTGGTGCTAATCAAGTGCATTTGAGTAATTATCAAGTCCAGACCTCGAACTGATTGAATTGCTGTGGCAGGGCCTGTAGGGTGCAATGCATAAACAAATGCCTGCAAACCTCAAGGAACTGAGCAGTGTTATAAAGAAGAAGGGCCAAAAAATATTCCACAATAATTTTCAACTTATTGCTGCTAGAGGTGGTTCTACAAGATGTTGAATCATGATCTGTGCCTAGTTTTTCACATGATTGGATAGAGTCTGTACCATACTGTATGTAGTACTTCCGAGCAGTGTTGGTGAGGTTACTTAAAAAAAAGTAATCAGTAACTAATTACTGATTACTTTCCAAAAAAGTAATTCCGTTACTTTACTGATTACTTATTTTCAAAAGTAATTAGTTACTTGGTTACTTTAAAAAAATTATTTACAACCTGAATAGGTAATAAAGCAATAGATCTTTCAGCCCAATTCTATTTATTCTGCATAATCCATCATATAAAATGTAGTCAAATGAAAAAGTCTCTTTTTGAAACTAGTTTTATTAGTTTTAATCTTTTAACTTTATGCATCAAGCAACTTGCGTTACTTGTAATGCGTAACTGCCCATCTCTGCTCCCAAGTGGTCTTTGTTTAACTTGTCCATTTTCACATTTGTGAGTTCGGTCCAGTAGCTCTGTTATACTGTGGAGGCGTTTTGTAGGAGTGGTTTGGGTCCACTGAAAATCATTACAGAATTGTTCTTTTATCAGGTCTATCCTAATGGGACTTTATATTCACATGGCTGTACAGGCACTATATAAATGAAAATAAAATTGGAATTGAACCTAGGTTTAGAAAATTAGGGGTTATTAATAAATACCAAAATAAATACCATAATAAACAAATAATCGCTTAATGTCTATGTTTTGTGTAAATCTGTCAGACTCCAATCAAACAAACAGAGATTTCAAGGCTCACTTTTATGTCCCTCTAACTTTATTAGAATAAATTTAGACTAGAATAACCCTTTATTGTCATTTTACATGTACAACAACATTATGTATGTTCCACACTAACTGTGCCAGAATAAAATATAAATAGTAGATATCAGGAATAACATAATTTAAAAAAATAACCTCGTTCTCTGTACATGTTATTTCAGCAAAACCTCAGATAAAAAATAACAATTTAGATATTACACTATCTCGTTATTTATTTAACACAAAACAAAATGCAAGAGAAGTGTTTGAAAAACTAAGTACTAACCTTATTGCATCCTCGAAAACTGTCCGTAGCACCCAGGTGCTGCTGATCACATTGAATAAATGATCATTAGCAAGTGTGAGTACTTCGATGAAAGTAGAGGTTTTGGCAGTTTGCTGATCTGGAGTGTTCAGATGTGTGTTAACATGATGCCAAGAGGGAAGGACATCAGCAGTGATCTTAGGAAAGCAATTGTTGCTTTCTCTCAGCTTGGGAAGCGTTATAAGGCCATTGCCGTACAATTTGAAATCCATCACTCTACAGCAAAAAACATTATTAGTAAGTGGAAATCATTCAGGACAGCTACCAATCATCCCCGAACTTAATGTTGCTGGAAATTAACCCCAAGGTCTGACTATGCAGTGGAGTTAACTGAAGAGCTACTTCTGAGATTCTACAGATGTAAGTAACCATGTTAAATATTAAAGTTCCCGACAGTACAATCAGACAAAGAACAAGCTTGACTTGTTTGGAAAAGTTGCATGAGAACACTTCTTCTCTCCTAATGATCATGGCAGCACAGCTTAGCCTTGGAAAACTGTATCTGAGCAAACCACGAGTTCTGGAGCAATGTCTTTTAGACAAATGAGACAAAAGTGGAGATGTTTTGCCAGAATTCACACTGCCACATTTGATGAAAACCCAAATAGAGCAGGACCCAGACATCTTGCAGTCAGTGAGTCAGAAATGAGCTTCACTATATAAAAAGTCTTCTAGAGTCAAATGTAAGGCCATCTCTTTGAAAATTATCGTTTGTTAGAAACAGGATATTACAACTGGACAATGATTCCAAGCCTGCGAAGAAGTTTTTCTTATTTTGCTATTTTGCTTATAATTTAATGACCTCATCTGCATTTTTTTTGTTGTTGCTGTTTCTTGTTTTTCTTACTAAACTTCATCACTGAGAATTTGTGTTCTGATAAAGGTAAATCCAAAGAAAAAAATATCTTCACAGGTGGCATGTGAGCAAAAATGTAGCTCTCCAGTTATCTTGAAAGAAACTGCAACCTTCTAATAAAAGCCTTCATAGGACTATGCAATTCATGTGCAAATAGACCCCTGCCTTGCAGTTTGGTATTTAGTGGAGTCGCATAAACAGCAAATGCAAGATCTGCCTCCATTCTTCCTCTGAGTGCCCTGGAATGTTCTTCTCCGTCTTCTCACAAAAGCAGCTCTCAGCTCCCAAACTGTTTTTAGCACGATACCCAGGCTGAGCCATATGACTGTGTTTTGGTAGCCTATGTCACCATATCCTGTCTTATGCTGCTCCAAAACTACAAACAAATTTACTTTTATCAAGTTGGGTATTTTAGTTACAACATCAACATCGTGGTTAATTTTTATCAATAATTTACACATCACCTCTTGTTGTGTAATACAGTACAGTGCTTGGTTCATTTCAGTTATATTATATTTCAATTTTTGAATACAGTTTTATTTATAAATAGCACCAAACCACAACAGGAGTCGCCTCAACACGTTACATATTGTGAAGATCTTACAATAACTTTTTTCAGCATTTTTCCCTGTCAGATTTAGGCTGTTGGCTGGAACACCTGCTAGTTAGCCCATTTCAGCCCTATCAAAACATGTATATGTGCAAAGCATAAACTGCTGCCAGCTCCTCTGTAACCTTAAACTCAAAGTAACTGTACTGATGTCACTTCACTTTTTGCTCTCTTGTCCAGAGCAAAAAATGTCAGGGCAAAAACTCAACTTATACACAGCACAAAACAAAATTATGTAGACTCTAAGATTCCATTCATTAATTTTCCTTGTCCAGGGTCATGGGAAGGTTGAAACCTATCCCAGCTAACTCAGAGTGAAAGGCAAGGCACGCCCTGGATAGGCTGCCAGAGATAAAGCATATTCTATTTAGATCCCAAAGACATATGCAACCAGTACTTAATATTATTGATTAATAGTACTCTAAATTTATTCATTGTCTAAATATCTTACCTGGTAAAATATTTGCAAATGGTAGCAAAGAACTAAGAAATGCCTGTCTGCTGTGCACGTTGCTTTGACAGCTGTCATTCATTCCTCTTTCAAGGCGTCTGAGAAACTTCACTTTTTTAATCTAATCATGTACGTTTTTATTTTTTTAATGTTTCAGAAAAACAGCCTGACATTAATTGCTGAAGTTCTCTATGAGTCAACACTATGTGAAGATATATGTAAAGATCTAATATAGCCAACATAGACAGTTATCCTTGTAAAACTCAGCTTTTTGAGAGTTGCTGAATTGCTGTTAGAGCTGGATAAGTACCTGTTCAATCATTATTGAATTTCTTGGTGAAATTAGTGTGACTTGCATTTCAAAAGATTTATTCTGCCTTAAACAGGATCTTCGTCGAGAGGCAGGTTTTATTTAAATGCTTTTTTGAAAAAGACATTGATTATCACTGGCCCTGGCAAATGTGCCTAATGTAATTTATTTTGCAAATAAATGTTTGTTCTTCACACATTGTTAACTTAATTATTGGGGGTGGGGTGTGTGTGTGTGGGGGGGTCAGGAATGTGATTATGGATAGATTTCATTTACCATTAGTATCTTCTCCCTTTATTCTCCCTCCCTTGTTGAATTAACTCGCCTACTTTTGCCAGAAATTATGAATAATTCCAAATTCCAGAGTAAAAGAGCAAACCAGACATACAGCAGCTAATGGTTGCCATGCTTCTTTCTAGAGAAAATGATGCAGGACAGAGGGCCAAAGTCCACTTTGTAGACTGATTCTTGAAACTTATGGGTATTATAACTATGGGAAGTAAAGGAGCTCCATATGTCGGATGAAAAACAAAATAACAGAATTTCTAAACAGCATTCGTGCATTTCCATCGTCCAACGTGTGCAATGTTAAATCAGTGGAGTATTCTTTATGTTCCTCCTCTCAAACCTTTTTCTCTGTGTCATAGGCTCCACAAGTTCATCAGTGTCAGACCACTGGCTAATCAGGCTGACGGGGGACAGTAAGAGAGGCAGTCTGGTGTCTCATGCATCCACCACCTGTCCATCTTCCTTACCTGACTCTCCAGAGTCTCCAGTCTTCCTGGACAATGGCTTCAAAGATGAAAGAGGTAAAAGGACCATTGCTGTCAACAGACTTGTGTTTTATTTATAATTTTTGTTTGGTTTTTATTTAAAGCCTAAAATATTTCCCTCTTTACATAAATGCCAGGTGGATTTGAGAAGAGGCCATTTGTCAGAGGTCTTCAGGGGCGCAGCATGAGCCTGAGAGCCCCCAGCAAAAACAAGGATACCTTGAGCAGAGTGCTTCCAATGCGCTGGTCCTTTGGTTCCAAGGACAGACGAAAACCTGACCCAGTCCCTCCCCCTGAACCTGATCCAGCCCCTGTAGAACTAGTACAGTACTTGGAATCTGGTCGGCGTCCCCGGTGCACAAAGGATCCGATAGCGACATTAATGAATGAACCACGCAGCACAAAGGAAGCTGCAAAGAGCCGTGTTGCAGCCAATGTTCGTTCGTCTAGCGTTGGAAGTATAAGTTGTGTGGGTAAGACAGGGGAGGAGCCGCCATTTCTAAAGGTCCCAGAGGGCCAGAAGTGGCCATCAGATAAAGAAGCTAGTCTGAGACGTAGCAAGGGGAGCCAGGCTAAGGATGAGAGCACTGTGAATATCAGGAGCAGCTCCAGCACTAACACTCTAACAAGGAGGAAGGATGGAAGAAAACAGAGCTCCTCCAAATCTTCACAGGATACTGAGACAAAACAGAGATCCAGTACTGGAGTTCAGCCCAGCTACAGCACACCCAGTCTCCAAGATGGAACTCTGAGAAGACAAAAGGGAGACAGGGCTGATAGGGAACGCCACAGCACACAAGAAGAAAACTCTAAGAACAAGAAAGCAGACGTGCCTAAGAGCCATGACGGAATACTGTCCTTCTTTAAAGGTAGCTTCCTGAAGAAGGATAAAGATTCAAGGAAACCCACTGAGGATGAGTCAGGGAGAGCAGTAGTTGAAGAAGAAAGCAGAAGGACCTTGTCGAGGCCATCTCTGTCCAATGGAGCAGCAGGAGGCCGAACTGGAGAAGAAAGAGGCAAGTCCAAAAGCTCAGGCCATGTGGTTAATGAGCAGGTAAACGGTAAGGTGGGGCACAAAGCAACTGAAATCAAACGTTCCCAGAGCTCCACCAACATCCCAACAAAAGCAGAGCAGAGTGTGCGTAGGACAGCATCTTTGCACCGTAATGGGATGTCAACAACGCCAGCATCATCACGCAGTCTGACAAGCGACAAACCATCTCACGGCACCTTGCAGAGGACTCGTTACAGCACAACCTCACTGGGGCGCAAAAAGACAGTCCCCGAGTCCAGCTTCTAACACAGAGACACATAAAGCCTTTTTCCTGAAAGAAAGTGAAGGACATGAAATCTCCAAGATCAAAGCAATAGTGCTCCATTCACAGTAATACGCCTTTTTTGTTCCTGGAAAATTAACAGAGTCAAGTAGTTTGCTCCATGTAAGACATAGAATAAATGAAAGGTCCTCTAATGCTCAAGAGGACATTAATGAGCAAAATTAGGTGATATGACCTGTCCATTAAATATGACAGAGAGTCCTTCTCCATTCTATTTCTACGACCCAAATAAGTGCCTGATCAGCCGATATGCAGTTTAGACCAATTGGTTTGTGTCAGTTTAGAACTGAAAGCACGCAGCAGCACACCTACAAACATACTGTACGAATATGTGTCTTATTAATGTAGTGTGAGCATTGGAAGTCGCCACTCTGTTGCGAACTCTTACGGTTGCTGCTTAGAATGAAGACACACTGATTGTGTTCATTTATAAGAATGTATTGTGTCTACTTGATAAACGGTGGTGCTTTGAGACCTAAATCTCTGAATAATGTCAACTGTTTATTTTTAACGTTTTTTTTAAAGCACAGTATGTTTTATTTTTTAAAGGATTGATTTTCTTTCTTTTTCCTAAATGACCCAGTGTGCAGCAGCAGTTGATTCAGTGATTTACAGCTGACTAAGCAAACATTTTAAAAACACTATTGTCTACTGTGAAATGTTAAATGAATACACTATCCCTTAGTGTATTAGTAATAACAGTTGAATATTAAACTGTTTGTTTTCTTCTATTGCTACTTTCATGTACCCACATCGTCGTGTTCCTTAATGTTAAATAATTGTTTCCCATGCTTTCCTAACACCGATGACTGTCAACAGTTTAATGTCACCATTCATAGAGGGGAGGACCACAAAAAGCAAAGCAAAAGAGAGTGACTTCTGCTTGTTACTAAAAAAAAAACCAAAATAATGTGGACACACAAAATCCTGTCTTATTGAAGCTGTGATTGAGAGAAAAATTCTGCCTCTCTGGGAATCATTTTTGATTAATGTACCTCCAAAATTGAAGGTCTGTAAAATTACTGGTTACTCTTTGATAGCGGCTGTTTTTTACCAGAACTTGACATTTACTTACTTATGAAATAGTGACTATTTGGCCAGTAGGGGAAACGGACAGAATATACAAGGCATGTAAGGTTAGGGAGCAGTGTTTGTTATTCTAAGTAAAGAAAATCTATTCTATGAATCTATAGAAGAGAAATAGAGTATGCATTATAATATGCATTTTCCTTTATTTATAGATTTAATGTCTATTTACTGTTGAAGTAATGTTTTTGTTTATTTTTTAAGTGTGGCACAGTAAATACATACATAAAAAAAACATAGTGGACAAGAATTTTATGTAACATTAATTTCTATTATTTAGGCTAAGCTAATTTAGCTTATTTAGCTTAATTAGCTTAAATAGCTAATTTAGCCTAAATCCATCCTAATGGTTTTGGATATTTTGCCTGTCCACATGTTTTATATGTAGAGGCAATATAGTATATTAATATATATTATCACACTCTCTTTTTGTTTTGTACAAAGACTTTTTTTTACCTTGCTACCTTTTCAAATATATAAACATCCTTCTTATTTAAATTGTTAGTTGGACTGCATTTGGGCAATATAAAGTAGAGCGAACTGCTTATCAAAAAAATTCAAGGGCAACTTCCAGACATCTGAACGCAGCATAATTATTTAATCCACCTTATCTAGCTGTCCAGCAGATCAACATAAACTCACACTGCAGTTAGAAAAAGCCTTTCATAATGTGAAATAATATAATTTGATGTTAGGTTTATTGACTTCACATCAACAGCACCTTGGTGCTCAACCCCGCAGCCTTCGAGATTATGAATGGCCAAATATTCTGATGAAGTATTTCTATCAAAAATCCAGTTTATTATTGAACAAATACCTTAGTGCAATCCTCTCTTTGTATTTATAATCACCATGAATATACAGCTTTCTTCTATTATGTAGGAATTAAAAAGCAGTATCTCTTTTATTGTACAAAAATGTCTACTTTTACTTAATCTTAAAATCTGAAAACCAATGATAATATTTAGTAAACTATCAGGCTATACTGATAGCAAATAATCTTATATTTATGCCAAATACACATGTGCAATTATTTTTTCCTTCTTTCTTGACTATAACTTTACATCAGTGGGTTATATTAGAGAGCCCGTATTAGAGTATGGAACAAGCTTTTCTATTTGTGTCTGTGTAATGGTAGAAGGAGGTTTTTTTTGTTATTAGCAGAAGTCTGTCAGATTGTGGAAAGGTACATCTAAGAGCTTATGCACATTTGACCATGAGTATTGCGCGATTTTGTTTTGTGTTTTGAAAAGTATATACGGTTGAAGTAAACAGATTGAGGCCTAAAAGCTTCATTTGCTGCTATAGGTAGCCTGTCGTAGTGCCTCTGTTAGATGCCACATGTCGAAACGCTGGACCGAATGTTGAAGTACAATCGAGGAGTTAAAGCAAACTCTTATGGAAGTAGGTTTTCTATGCACATGTCACAAATAGAGAAATCTTTCTGTCATTGTTTTGTTTACAAGTCAGACACTGGATTTAATATTTTTTTATGTCGTTATCAAAAATTCAAACGGCTGTTTCTTATCGTCACTTACTTCTAAGTTGACAAATAAGTTATCTGATGCAAGGGTTTGGTAGCTCTTCTAAATACTTCTGTGTTTGTGTTAAATGTTTTGGACAGATCTGAGTTTACCTGTGAAGACTATTTCCTTCCTCAGGAGCTACGTGAGGGATGTCAGGCACTTAATTGCACATTTATCACTCCAACCCACCCCCACCCACGTTCCTATACTCCCATTTTAAATTCCTATCATCAATGTTTGAATTTTCTTTGCTTTTCGTAGTTTTCTCTGTGTTTACAAAACTATTTTTTGTGGCCTTGAAGGTGCCTGCCTGGGCTTTCACTTCTGCAGATCTTGTTTTGAGCCAAAAGAAAAATCATGTCGACAAATAATTTAGTGCTGATTAGTTATAAGTTTGGTAAGAGATGTAACTTGACATGGCAGATAAGATTTGTCGGTATTTGCTTTAAAATATTTTATTTTTTTTAAGGGTGTCTTCTTTTTAACATTCGTTTGCATTTCTTTATTTGGTAGGGGGGAAAGAAATTGTGCCAACATTCAACTAGTCAAAGTTGCAGGCTTCGTTTTCTTCTGAAATGTCAAAAGGGATTGGTGGTGACTTTGTTTTGATGATGGCTGCTGCATTTATGTCCTCAACAGTAATTCACAAAGACTGCTCAAACACACAAGTAGCACATTCAACAAAAAGGCAGAAATTGCTTCAATTAGAGAGCTAATAAAATGACACAGGTTTGTGCTTTTTACAGACATGCTCTCCTCAGCAGACTGACAAGTATTCCTTTGTATTTAACATAACAAATGCAAAGATTCTTACAATGTGGCCTGTGGTATACAGTAAAATGTGTGAAATATTTCCTTTCAACCAGTGAAACTGGCATAAAGCCCAGGAGGTTATTGAAACCTTTGCAAATTCTCAACCTTTACATCTAAATACATTGTGAAAGTATATTACAACTATCAATGAAATAGCCGGTGTGTTAGATGTGAGTCTGAAAAGTCTGTTTTGCTTCTCTCAAACCACATGTGGCCACATACATGCATAGTTTATCAAACTGAGCACTTTTATGTGGTAAGAGATGTTTTTATATGCAATTTTTCTACATTTTCTAAGTAAAATCTCTGTATATATTTGTGGATACACGCAGAGGGGGATATGTGCGCACGGGTGTGTGTGTAAGAGAGAAATAAATGAATAAATATGGACGCAGAGCCTGCATGGTGTAGTGTTTGGGATTTTCCATTGCATTGCACAAGGTGGTTTTCACTACAGTTTCTGCTTAAATTGTCCTCTGTACATGATGGTACATTATATATATATTTGATATATTATATTTTTCAGTACAATAAAAATGTGTTATTTATTACTATGGTCTTCAGTAAGCCACTTTTAAATGCCTAATAAAAAAAATATGAAGTTTTAAAATTGAAGATTTTATTACCTGTGGGACAATGCTTTTAATTTATGGATTTTCTTTTCTTTTTTACAGCAGAAACGTAGACAGGAGACATACGCTGAAAGATCAGATGCCATATTGAGGTTATGTAGCATGACCGATGAACATTTGGGACAAAAAATGTGTGTCAGTACAAGAAATTGCCACTAAAATGTACCCTTTAAAGTGGATTGTGTCATCCTTAATATGTGAGTTTTGGGTAAATAATTAAATTTCACAATTAATTACAAAAGAGAAAAACTCAGAAGTGGCATATGTGATATGCATTCAAACTAATGTATGCTAATTAATATTTAATTTCTTGTTTTTATTTCATCAATGAACACTCCAATTTTGCAATTTGAGCTTTGGTAAAAAATGCACTTTTTGCAAGCTCTGGTATTAGAATTAAAGTTATTAGAAATGGTAAATGGCCTGTATTTGTATAGCGCTTTTCTATTCCCTAAGGACCCCAAAGCGCTTTACACATCCAGTCATCCACACATTCACACACTGTTGATGGCAAGCTACATTGTAGCCACAGCCACCCTGGGGCGCACTGACAGAGGCGAGGCTGCCGGACACTGGCGCCACAGGGCCCTCTGACCACCACCAGTAGGCAACGGGTGAAGTGTCTTGCCCAAGGACACAACGACAGAGACTGTCCAAGCCGGGGCTCGAACCGGCAACCTTCCGATTACAAGGCCAATTGCAGTGGCTGACCTTAAGGTTAAGAGGCTTATTTAATATGAATAAGAAGGCTGCAATAACTCCAATAAGCGAAGCAATTGTATCAAAGCATTTTTTTCTGCATATGAGGACTGTTCATCCAAACAACCTCGAGCTCATGTCCCAACATGTTTGTCTTACATATGTGAAGCTGAATACCAATTAAGATGCTGTAGATGAAGAACAGATGGATAGAAATAAAGATACTTTTCCAAATTTCCCACGTGTGGGACTAATAAAGGTTATCTTATCTTATTAGCACCAACCTCTGTCATCAGCTTGGCTTTTCTTGGCTGCTATCCTAAGTCTAACCAATTCATAATTGTAAGTCTACCATCAATTAGGCATCAGTGCCACTGGTTGACCACCAACAGAAAAAGACCCAGATAATGAGACCACCCGAGTTTCATCAAATTTGGTACTAGAATTACACTTTGTCCTGCCAAATCTGACATACATCAGATGAGTAGTTGTCAAAACAGGTTAAAAAGAAACAGGTATATAAGAGTTTGGGGGGTTTTCAGAATTGCTTCTGTTTTTATATATTTATCCTATTGAAAATAGCTGCATGCAAAGAAAAAAGCTGAAGTAAAGCGAACCATGCTGTGAGCCAGGCACCTGAACATTGCCTCATTAATGGATAGATTCTTAAGAAGCCAATGACAAAGGCTCAGAGTGCAGCTGATGTGATGGAGGAGATGATGGTGCTGGGGATGTGGTTTTTTTGCCTGCTGTTTTTTTTTTCTTCTTTCTTCTAAATCTCACTCTTATTCGTACATTGTTAAAGGCCTCAATGCCTGTTCAAAGCAAAAAAGAAAAAAAATGAAAGAAAGAGAGAGATGACTATAAAATGCGTAACATGAAGCAGCTTTTTTCCCATAGTATTACATCATAAAAGCCGTAATAGTCTTTGATCAGTGTATATGTTAACTCCCAGCCAAAAGGAAAATAAAGCTTGTGTCTTCAAACGTATTTTCCACTACTTTTCAGTTTGTTGCAGAAAAAAATGAGATTATCTCATAGCCTGAGTTGCAAAAATGTATTATTTATTTCTTAAATCATATAAATTTCACTTCTCATGTTCACAGTGTAATGGCCTTTATGCCTTGTCCCTCAGGGCATATACTGTAAATGTACCCACTGGAAGTAGGTGCTAATATTTAATGCTGAACTATCCCCCCCACCCCACCTCCGCCCAGTTAGAAGCATCCATTCTGTTCTCTGTATGTGAAAGACTGGAAAAAAATGAGTGTGTGGTAAGATGTCTGTGAAGGTTCTCAGTCATCCAGGTCATCGTAGTCAAAGGAGCTTGCAAAGAAAAGCGTCTGGACTTCTTTAAGTTGCTTGAAGACGTTTCACCTCTCATCCGAGAAGCTGGGTCCAGGGACCCACACCCATTTTCACACCTTGGCTCAGGCGATTAGAGGATCATCAGGGGGTCCTTTTGCCCCTCTGTGGGGGGTTACTCCCACTAGGTTTATATCTGGGACTCTCCACCATTTGACCTTAGAACTGAAGAAGCTTCTCGGATGAGAGGTGAAATGTCTTCAAGCAACTTAAAGAAGTCCAGACGCTTTTCTTTGCAAGCGCCTTTGAGTGTGTGGTAAGTTTTAGCATGAAATACAGAGTACAGAGATACAGCAGGAACTTTACCCCTTCATGCCAGAAATAAATGTCTTATTGACTATTTCAGTGAAACAGTCTGTTTAGCATTTAGCATCAGTTGTGCACTGTGTTTTAGTCAGCAGAGCATGGACGGATATTGAGTGCATAACACTCCTCATGCAGACCCAACACACATGGGTCACTAGCTATGTCTATAACAGTTACTTGAGCAGCACTTCATACCATTACATACAGCACTGATTGTGTAATTTCCTGTGATACTTAAATGTGTACAGCTAGTATAGTGTGTAAAACCATGACAACTGGAAACCTCTGGGACCTAGTAGATGGATTGCTATTCATGATTTTTTTTTTCTACAGATTTGAGTGATTCTCTGACCCTTTCTCCAACTCTTCCAGCAAAATATTGTCAAATGTTTAGTAAAATATTTTTGTACAAACACTCAATATTGCTGACTTCTGATCTTCTCATTTTCATCTACCAACATCATAAGGGAAATAATGGGGGTTTTTTTTCTAGGGTTTTTTATGGACTTGCAAATGCTGCTCTACAGACTGGTGTTATGATTCATTTAACTATAATTAACTGTAAATTATATCAATATGGGTTTTGCACTGAGAAAAGCAATGATTCTTGCATTTTGCTTTTTTGCACACAGCCACATCACCTAGGCTTGGATGTTTATGTATATCCTACTGTAGTTTGTAAAATATGTATCGTTTTCAACTATTGCCTGTTGATGCTTTAAGAAGTCAGCAATTTGACTGCATTAGTTCCTGGACTGCTCGTTTCCAGCTGACTTTAGTTTGTCTTGACTAGTGCAGGATAATAGTTCTACTTTGCTGGAGCACTGATGTATACCAAAACTTTAAAAAGCCATATTCCAGCAAAAACATTATGCACAGTTGATTTGAATTGCATCATTTATGTTAATTGCACTTGTAAGTGAACAGAGAAACAACATTTTAGTTTGTTGATTTATTATTTTTTATTCTTTTGTTTCACGATTTGAAGAAGTCTGTATTTGGAGTTGTTCATTGGCTTTCACACATAAGATTAAACTTCTGGTTCCATTAACAAGAGAATATTCTGACAGCACTTATATCAGTCCAGTCATCACTGGCAATTTTAGAAGCTTTTTGCTGCAATTCCAAAACGACGTCTTCAGATCTGACAAGAGGTAAGTGACATCACTTAACTATTACTGGTTTAGCAATCAGGAAGCAGCAGGAGATAATGTTCACTGTTACTACAGAGAAGTAGTCACTTAATGTGTCAAACACTCCCTTTCAAAAGCCACATTTAAAAAAAACAACTATTGTGTGAAGTACTGGAAGGCGTGGTGAATTTTTGGGGGGGGCAACTGCATTATATCTCTGGATATTTGTAACCATACTGTTGTGTATCTGCTGCTATATTGTCAAGAACAAACATTTATCTGTGTCCACAAATCCTGATTCCAACATTTGAAAATGATGATTTGGATGATGTGGTGGTGGTTTTAGAGTGGAGAGAAATCTGTTCATCATCTATCGCACTAAGGATGGAAAATTTATAGTTATAAGATCATCAGAATCAGAGTTATGACAGTATGTAATGATATATTTTTAAAGATTTATTGTTGCCTTTAGCAGTGAAGAATAGACAGTACGGAGCCCCGCAAGGGACATGGGAGAAAAAAATTAAGATCAACTTTTGCGAGATCTCGCAAAATAGACTGCATCCTTCGCAGGTCGCATTTGAAGGCCGAGTCCTTTGTTACCCAACTTATCCCAGAATTCATAGCGCGGCCCAGCCAATTCGTTTCTAACAATGGCGGCAGCTACTTATTTTTAATATTACTCTTTCTGGGTCACAAAATAAACTTTTAAGATATTTTCAGGCGTGAATGTAGCTGTGTAAATTTCAAATATCTGCTCGGTTTATCAAGACATCACATATTTCCAAAAGTGCTCCGACGTTTTCGGAGACGTCGAGGCCCGCACTCCTGGCACATCGTGCCTCAACCTCCCGGTCGGCTTTGAGCTGGCAGCCTCCAAAGGATGCGCCCAAAACATTTGCAAGATCTCGCAAAAGTTCATCTTAATTCTTCATGCCATAAATTCAACAAGTTGCTGGAAACATGCCATAGAGTTTATGGTCTGTATTTACATGATAGCAAAGCTTCTGCAGATTTGTCAACTATGCATCCAAATCTCCCATTCCAGAACATCCCAAGGTGCTCTATTAGATTGAGATCTAACCACTATGGAGCTCATTTGAGTACAGTGAACTCTTTGTCCTGCTCAAGAAACCAGTCCTAGGAGATCTGAACTTTGTGAGATGGTGTGTGCTGCTGGAAGCGGCCACCAGAAGAGAGGTGCACTGTGCACTAAAGACATGGACATGGTCAGCAATAATGTTCAGGTAGGCTACGGCATTCAAACAATGCTCATCTGAAACTAGAGTAAATATCCAGTGAGTTGTGACCATACCATATGAATGTTGCAGCAGAAATCCAGAAGCATCAGGAAACATTTTTCTAATCTAAACGTACGATACGAGTGTGTAACGGTCCTGGGTGGGTGATCCAGTGTTTTAATTATTATTATTATTATTATTATT